AATTTCAGGCTTACTTCGATGAATTCCGGATCGCTGTCTTGCTTATTGTGTAGACTCATTAACCTGCCAACAAAAAAAGAAACTCGCAACTCAGATCAATCAATTTGAAACAAACAAAACTCCATACACCATAACGGCCAAAAAACGTAATGATCTTTTTAGAAAACGCACTTTTTTCCATTTTATAAAAAAAAAAAACTTAGAAAAGCAGCTAGAAGTTTACCGTTGCAGCAGTTCACGGAAGGCCTGTTCAGCATCATCGAGTCTGCCCATCTCGTAATAAGTATTAGCTTTTTCATCCAAAATTCTGCTTACAGTGAGATCGCTATTTCGTTCAATGGCCATTTGCATTGCTTCTTCTAGCACCACCAGTGCTTTCTCATAGCTGTGATGCTTCCTGTGTAACCAGGCCTTAACGTATTTTCAAAATTAAATATTCAGAAAGCTCCAAAAAACTTAGGGAGGAACTACACACTTAAAATACTTTGATTCTACTATAATAGCCGTGCAACTATATAACTGGCAACCAACCCAGTTACTTTGCCCAGCGGTGCATCGCCTGGTGGTCAGCCTGTCGACGTCCGTCCCATCATCTGGAGAAATTAATGGCTCAGCAGTTCGCACGAAAAAAGCACTTGGCAGGGATTCAACTATTTCGAGATGTGTATTAAACATATTATTTCGTCTCAAATGTTGCCAAATCCAGACCCGGCTACAAGATAGGCGAACACACCGAGTAATAATTGAATGTTTAATTAAGCTAAAGCAGAATAAGTACAAAGATGCACACATAGCACGGGTGATGAAGTAAGAAAAGAGGAAGGAGAACTTGCGGGAAAGCCGCCCAACTATATGTATGAACCCTGAAAGCAAAAATGGCAGCAAAAAAGGGCAGGGAATTATGAATAGTTTGTAGACAACTCGATCTCAATTTCACCAAAAAGACAAATGCGCATCTTAGTTATCCGACTCCACGAAATCTACGCCGCACAATTTTCAGTGCATCCAAAATAAAATGCAGTGCCGCTGTCAAGGAAGGAGCTGCAGAAAAAGAAAACTTTTTTTTTTGTCAGACGTCAAAATACATAAAAGAATCTCTTTTTCTTCAAATTCAATTGAGCTAACATCGATTCCTACTGCGGCTAGTGTAGGCCAGTGCGAGTCTACAGACACTAAATTTAAACATGAGCTGACTGAAGAAAGCCTCTTTCTGTATATTATTGACTTCTGCAAAAGAGCGGAAAAAGGTTCAAATGATAGCACTTTGTTAACAGCAACCATCCACTAGCAAGGCTACCGGTGAGACTCAGTTGCTAGAATAACGCAAAAAAAGGCTACACTCTCAGCATCAGTGCAAATTTGCGCATATTTTTTGTCTTACTGGCAACAAGTGCATTTTTTACGTGGAAAACTACCACTTCCATAGTCGTTTAATCTCAAACTCTGGAACAAACTTCACTTACTTCCTTGATTTTGTGCTTTAGTGGATCCTTGTCGAGTTGGAATGGCGGTATGCCAATCATATCTCTGAAAGTTGTCATAAATGCGAAACCAAGCAACGGAACGCCTGTACCTCCAGCAAGCCAACGCAATTGACGCCACTGACTGTGACCGCTGCCCGTATGAGCTCGACGATACGCCACCCTGGCGCACAGCAAAGCTGCCCTGCATGGCTGCTGTTTCCATCTGAGCATCGAATACCATTGTCGCAACAGTCGACGCATCCTTAAAAAAAAAAAAAATTTCTCAAAAGTGACATCTGACAGTGTGGAAGTGGTCAGCTGCATAGATGAAGAAACATGCAGATGTCTAGTAATTTACCAATTACAGCTTTCTTCCAGCACGATAAATCCCATGGAGTTGCAGCACTTCAGAAACCAAATCCTGTCCTACAACTCAACACAAGCAAGCAAAACATGAAGAGATCCCAATTTCTCATCTGTGAATAAATTTCGTCCAATGTTCTTATGGCTAGATTCGTTGCATGAACATAACTTGAACAGACAAATTTTAGAAAAATATATGGATGCGGAGAGCTCCGTAACATTTTTCATCGAATTGCATGCAAAAGAAACTTCGTAAAAACATTTACTTAGCTGTAATTGTTTGATCAGACAAGGAGCTGAGACACTTAAGAAATATACAAATGACAATGATGGCACATACAAAACACCTCAGCGACTTCCAGAAAGATGCAAAGGAAGGGGCAAATGCACACTCCAATCCTAGAAATTCCATTCAAATAAGGCAATTTTTGATATTTTAATGAGAAAGCTGAAGTTTACGAACCCATTTAAATCGGTTCTCTTTTTTTTTTTACAATAAGTTTGGGAGTTTATTTTCGCTTGCAATTTATGCACTAACAGAATTTAATTTCTTTTAGGTACTGCTATTTTTTACTAAATTTTTTCATATTAACTGCTTTCACCCCAATTATTTTCGTCGCAAACTTCAGGAGGAAGGGATATTCATGAAAAATATAACACTAAATCGCACACACAAACCTACTACTATTCACTAAACAAATCAACTACAAAGCATATAATCAGTCCATTTTAATAGCGAACGATGAGCCACAGGAGCAACCCTTTTCAGCGATCGGATTGCTAACGATACGAAACGATGCACGCATCAATTCTTCCGCATAATCAACAGTTGCGCCTTTCAGCAATTCCAGTGATTTCTGAAAACGGCTACACACCACTTTTTATCTAGTGGAAAATAGCGTTTACACTGAGATAAAGAAACAGTGAAGCAACAAGTAGCTCTGGCCATTACTTCCATTGGTCTGCACCAATTAATTCTTAAAAATCTTTTGATACAATGTACAATTTGATACAATGTACAATTCACGGCTAAGATGGATTCCTATTTGCCTTCCACGAACATATAGGAATCCATCTTAGCCGTGAATTCAGTAGTCCTAATGTGTGCCCAGTTTAATTAATGCACGCCCACCGTCCGATCTGTTTATTCTTCGGATGCTCAAAAAATGTTCATGAAAACTACTCACGAAGTGCATGACAATGAATTATGCTAAGCCGCATCTATTTTGGACGGAAGTTTGTTTGAAATCTGATTCTGAGCGAAGCGATATTTTTGCTTTTTTTTTCACGCAACAGTGACCAACTAC